TCTTTGTGACAACTGAAAGAAAATCGACAGTTATTAATAGTATAAAATATATAGCCTAGTGCTCAAATTTCCCTGGTAGTATACTACAGGTTTTAAGTTTATATTCAAATGAGGTTGTTGATACCTCTGGGAAAGGAAATAACTTTAGAATAGTTTGATATATCTCTTGGAAGGTTATTATTTTTGTCTTAATGGTATGCAGAGTTCATGGGAGATGATGTTTAGTTTAAAGAGGTCCCTAGGATATTATTTAGGATTCTTTTGCTCTTTTTTTTGTTAAAGATTTCTCCTCCACATCTTTTATTTTCTTTCTAGCATTTTTAGGTCTAACTTTATTGAGCTATAAATCACATACCATGGTGTTGGCATTTTATATAGTCTACAATTAAATGGGTTTTAGAATGCTTTTTGAATTGTGCAGTCATGACAACAATGAATTTAACCACCTTCAAAAGAAATTTCATACACATTAGCGTTCAACTTCAGTGTCTCAATCTACTCTTAAACTTCAGTATCTCAATCTACTCTTAAACTTCAGTATCTCAATCTACTCCTAAACTTCAGTATCTCAATCTACTCCTAAACTTCAGTATCTCAATCTACTCCTAAACTTTAATATCTCAATCTACTCCTAAACTTCAGTATCTCAATCTACTCCTAAACTGCAATATCTCAATCTACTCTTAAACTACAGTATCTCAATCTACTCTTAAACTTCAGTATCTCAATCTACTCCTAAACTTCAATATCTCAATCTACTCCTAAACTTCAATATCTCAATCTACTCTTAAACTTCAGTATCTCAATCTACTCCCAAACTTCAGTATCTCAATCTACTCTTTAGTACTATGTAATCGGTAATCTATTTTTGTTTCTGTGCATTTCCTTTTTGTGAGCACTTCATATAACTAATACAAGATTAAGTTTCTGTAACTGGCTTCTTTCACTTAGTAGAATGTTTCCAAGTTCATTCATTTATAGCATTTATCCCCAACTTAATTCCTTTTTGTGACTTAAAATATTCCATTGTGGAGGTACATTACATTTTGTAAGCCATTTACTACTCTGTAACTAAAGTTACAGATACTTATCAGACATCACGTTGGTGCTAGAAATTGAACCCAGGTCCTCTGAAAGAGCACGGTGTTCTAACTACTAAGCCATCTCTTCAAGCCTCTGACACAACTTTTTAATTACAGCTGCCCTAGTAGGTGTGGTATGGTGTCTTATTATGAATTCAATTTGTATTTCCTTGATGATTCATGATGCCAAGAATTTTTCATATATTCACCAATCATTTGCACAGATTTTGGGAAAAGTATACTCAGATTATCTGCTTTTTTATTCATTTATATGTTTTTTAACCTCAGATTCTTTTGTTTATTTATTTTGAGACAGGGTCCCTCAATGTGACCCTGGCTTTCCTGGATTATGTACACCTTCCAGGCTGGCCTCTAACTCTTAGAGGTCCATCTGATCCTGCCTCTGGGATTAAAGACATGGGCTACCATGCTCAGCAGGTTCCATTAAAAAAAATTTTTATTTATTTATTTATTATTATTATTATTTGTGTGTGTGTGTGTGTGTGTGTGTGTGTGTGTGTGTGTGTGTGTGTGCATTTCTCTGTTCATGTGAGTGTGTGCACATATGTGTGTGAAGGCCAGAGGTTGACCTCAGGTTCCTTCTTTGTTGCTTTACATACTGGTTTTGAGACAGGGACTCTCACTAAACCTTGAGTTAACAGATTGACTGGACGCACTAATCAATGTCTGGGGTTACAGATGCACACTGCCATGGTCTATGCTCTGCATTTTACATGGATTCTGGGAATCTGATTTTAGGCCCTCATGCTTTCATGCCATCCACTTTATGTTGATCTATCTCCCCAACCCCTTGATAGTGTCTTACTTTTTCAAAAGCATAGTAAATTTAGTGTCCAAGATATTTCCATTCTGTTAATAGTACTAACATTCCTTGATTACTTACTAAAGTCAAAGGCACTTCTTTGTATGTCGCGTCCGCCTCGACCAGCAAGGAAGACGCAACACCAGGCTCTTCTCCAAGCAGTTTATTCAGGAACCTTGAACAATCTTCTGACCCCTGGGAAAGCCATCTTCTGACTCCAGGGAAAGCCAGCCCATGCCCTTTATAGCCACTGGGCAACCAACCCCATAGTGCCACGTGGACAATGCCAATAGGATCAGACATACGCAAGCAAGCCAGATTAGGTCCAGGTGCGCGGAAGTAAGCCAGATCCTAGCCTTAGCCAAATAAGGAGTTGTTTATCCCAGAGAACACCTGCCATTGGGAAGGCGGAAGCCGGACGCTGGCGCCATCTTTGAGGCGCAGCCGTGCACGGCTCTCTACATTTGTATACAGATAAGTCTATATGATTATCACAGTATTACTATTCCGTACATTTACAAATTAGAAAATTGAAGCAAATTTACATGATACAAAGTCATCAGCAAGCCCAGTATTTCAACTTTTTGTTGGTGATGCTTTACAAATCAGTCTTTGTATCGTGGAGATGGCTATCTCGGGGAGAACTTTGATGTGTCTTTTGAAGTATAAAGGTTATTTTCATTCTGAAGGAGTCAAACTATCTCTTATCATTGGTACTATGTCTAAGAATTCCTTGCCTAGTTCAGGGTTTCTTATAAGAGCTATAAAATGTTTTCATGTAGAATTTGCATTTAGGAGTCTCTGGATTAACATAAGGTTTCGCTTACCCTTAGGGTTTCCAGCAGTGTGGTGTCTTTAGCAGTCATGAGATCCTGACTACAGAACTAGGCATCTAAGCCTAGAAATAAAAGAAGGCTTTAACAAGTATATGTAGGTTTGAGAGATTCTTAAAGACTGTTTAAAAACTATCAGAAAACAGCAATCCTGGGAAGAGAACAAATGAGTATAAATTATTATGCCTGAAGATGAGACTCTACTAAGGACGTTTATTTAGAGCTCTTCACAAAACATTTCATTGGAGTTCAGAAATAAGCATTGTAACAGCAGCATATTTTCTTTTTCTTTCTTTAACAATTTCTGTGTTGGAGTGTTTTTAGTGTTCTGTGTTTTATAATGTATATATAAAATAGCATAGTAAACATAAAGTATATATGTACAAATACTACACATATATAGATTAAATATATACATACAAATATATTCAGAACTTAATCCATTTTGTAAACCTATACCAAATTACCTGAGGCTGTGAAACTTGTGAAGATTCTTGTTTTGATCAACCATCATAGAGAAACAGAATGCCACCAGTATCTTGATGAGAGGTCCCTGGATGGGTAACAACATGATGAAGAAGCAAAAAAGGACATACTGGAGACAAGCACATGGTGTGTCCTTAATTTATAGCATTTCACTACCATAACCTTTAGCTCACTCCTGAGAAATACAACCCACTTCGTGAGTTCATCATTAATCCACTCCTGAGGGTTCCACTCTCAGGACCTAATGACATTCCACCAGGCTCTATCTCTTCAAGGTCCCACCACCCTAATACTGAGGAGACCAAACTTCAACACATGAACCGTTGACGGATGAACTATATGAAAGCTGTAGAAGTAATTTTCTCAGTAATTTTCTTTGCTTTTTTTTTTGATGATTAGAATCAGTAAAAATTACTTTAGAGGATGTATGTATCTTCTTCCCATCCCAAGAGTAGTGTGTTTATGTGAGCAGTGAGGTGGGTTTAAACCATTCAAGGGATTCCATTAGCTCCATTTATTTAAAATATCAACATTTATTGGTGATACATTATGCATTCATTCATATTTAATAAATACTTTCTTAGTGCATAATATGTATCTTGCTTTGGGGGGATATAGTTGTGAACTTAAACACAGTATATGAACCTATAGTGCAGTATAGTTCAGTTAAGGAGACAGTTGTAACCAAATAAGTATGTTATATATATATGTATATATATATGTATTATGTACATAATCACACATTATATGATTGTGGTGTGAAATGAAAGCATAGCAAGCTACAAGAGGCTATAAGAGATGAATTGAGGCAGTCTTCATTATGGGATTATGGAGCAAAGCTACCCTATCCTTACAAGTGGCATTTAAGCAGAGCCTTGCTGAGATTGGTTGTTTTGCCTTGTGAAAAGATCGGGAGAGAGTGGCATAGATGGAAAGATGGTGTGTGTGAGGAACATATGGTGGAAGGGGCAGTGCCATACAGGAATGGGTATTCAGAAAGCAGTGAAGCTTAAGACATGAATGTAACTGAGAAGAAGATGGAGTGCAGGCTCAATTACCTGAAGAGATTTGCCTTCCTTTGGTTATGAGAGTAGAGAGAGGCAGGTTAATCACAAACTAGTCGAAGATACCAGAGGACCACAGGAAATCAGGAGGGACTAGTTTGGTGGCTGGGCATAATTGGAACATTGACAGTAACAGCTCCTGGAGCCTCAAGTATTGCTGTCTGTGATTCTCTAGAATAGTAATTGATAAGGAGGAATAAAGGGCTACGTGTTTTCTGTAGCTGATGTCAATCTTTCCTTTTGAAGCGTCATGAGAATTTTTTGAGCAATAGGCACCAATAGGGCCTACTAATGTGTTGTGATCATGTGTTTTCCTGTACTATTTGAAGCAAGACGGTGTATGTACTACCTCTTGGGACAAAAACAAAACAGAACAAGCAGATACAACAAGAAATGAAAGATTTGTTTCTTTGGTAAATGAGGTAAACGGAAGAGTCATTGCAGGAAATGATGCTATAGCCAGCTCTGCCTGAGACGTTGGATCCCAGGCAGAGGAGACGCTAAGCGGCCAGAGCAATTATTTGATGGGCCATTGTGACTGTGACTTCTAATCAGCTGGGAGGGGAAGAAAGATGAGGGAGATCCCGGTTGGACAACTGAGCATGAAGGAAGGAGCAAGCCACAGGAGCCGGCGGGAGGCGGCTGCAGTGGGTCCCCAGCGTCAAGAAGGGGGCACGAGGAGGCGGCGCGGGCCCCGCCCCCTCCCCTGGCGGGCGCGGGCGCGGGCGCGAGACGCTGCGCGGCGGCAGCGGCGGGAGCGAGCGGCAGCTGTCAGGCCACCGAGGTCCGAGCTGCACTTGCTGCCCCACTGAGGACGAGGCGGCCGCCGCGAGCTGTGACCTGGTCGCGGAGGAGCCAGGCTAGAGGCACGCAGAGCCGAGCTGCCTGGCATCTGTAGCCCTGTCCATCCTCCTTCCCATTGTGCTGGGTAAGGTGTCCGCGCGTGGGCAGCAAGAGGGGGCTAGCTGGTGGACCCGGGAGGCCAGGAGGTGGGGGGCCTGTGGGAAAAGGGAGAAAGGGCAGCGTAGGTCATCGCCGGGGTTACTCGCACCCCACTAAAGGGGCCTAGAAGCTGCTGAGCTTGTAGTCGGAGGTAGGTGATGGTGGAGGGGGGCGTTGCTGAGTAATCTGGAGTGGCTGCCAGAGCGGGGCAGAGAGGCGCAGGGCTCCGTGGGGAGCGGGTGTGGTTCACTGCGCATGCGCCACAGTCGACTGGCTCGAGGAGCTGAGGATGAGGTGAGAGGACCTGGGTCTGAGGTAGTTGGGACTATGCGTGACGTTTCACTTTCTAAGTTCCCAATGCTAAAACAGTGTTCCTGTCGTAGAGATGCCAACATTCCTGGTCTCCTAAGGACGTTTTATTAGTGTCCTGAAAACCTTTACTTCCAGGCAGCCTATTAAGGTAGACGTGGCCTGGGGACAGTGCCAAGTTCCTATCAAGTGTGTCTTTGGGCTTATTGGCCCAGAACTATTATGAGGAGTGAAAGATTAGACATGCATTTCCACACTGAACACTTAGTTGCATATATGATGTAAATGCCAGCATGAAGTTAGGAATAGCATTTCGGTGGTATGACAGATATGGCATCTAGACTTTGTAGCATGGGTGTAGCTGATAACTGAGCTCTGCAAAGTAAATTGAGTGCGTCACAGGGCTTCCCCTGCCGTAAAACAATCCCCTTTCCAGCATCAGGTTGTATGGGAAGCAACCTACACCATTTAAATTAGAGGGTCTCAAAGATCAATCATTTCTTACTTGTGTTGATTTTTCACATACGTTAAAGAAAGCCACACCCATTACTCCGGTGCAGTATTTCTGAATAATATTTCAGGATTAAACAGTAAACTGAATAGCCCTAATCAGCATGTCGCCACAAGATGGGCTTTCCTCAAGCATGTCCCCTCCCCTGTGCAGACTTCCATTAGGGCCACTCTCATCCATTTTCTAGCTCCCCCTCTTCCCCCACCAAGCCCTGCAGTACACACCCCTGTCAAGACCTGCTTCCAAACAACCTGCATTACTGATTGTGAGCATCATTCCACCCCCATGGAAACTGAACTGACGCTGCCAGTTTGCGTATGTGCCTCTTTTCTCTCCGTAATCGTAATAAAAATGCATTATTTTAAAAGATTCAACCTTTCTTTATTTTATTCCCTCTGCTCCTAATCTCAAGCACCCCCAACTAAATACGGTAATTTTAATAAACCTGTGTGGGTGCAAACATGGCTGATTCAAAAGGTTTCAAGTGCACTAAAGAATAGAGAGCTAAGATATTAGTTATATGAATTCCTGATTCATCTTATTATCCAAGACAATATTTGAGTCAAAGCCAGATGTTTCTCTGAATGGGACCAAAATTAGAATAAATATGGTCCAAGAGCTGGAGGTGTAGCTCAGTGGTGGAGTGTTTAAGGCACAGTGCCCTAGGTTTGATTCCCAGTGCTGGGGATTAAAAAATAAAAAAAAGGAAAGAAAAGAATTTGATTTCATTGATTGTTATACTGTGATGGCTCTTTTCAATTTGAATATGCACTAACGTTTATCATCCTCACCTTCAAACATAATGACAGGGATGAAAGCCTCCACTGAAAACAAAATGGAGATCATTATTCTCCTCTTGGTTTTGGTAGGAATGGAGATGCTGTTGGAAATATATATTTATTTTAATTCTACGCAACAGTCCATTATTGTAGGAATCTTTTTTTTTTTTATTTTAAAATGTGAGTATAGCAACTGGGAAATGGAAAGCTTCCACTGACTTTCAACAGGTGGAATTTCTGTTAAGTTCTGTCTGGAAAGGGATCCAGATAAATTCATAATTTGTAATTTTAGTTACATTATATGTGATAACATTTGGATGTCTTACAGGATCATGGATCGATTGTTGGCATTAATTCTGGGTACCTACCTAATATGTTAAATCATAAATACTTATTGCTTATTTCTATGATGGATTCTGGTACCACATGCTGAAGAGGCTTCAAAGACATACATAAGCAGAGGACCTTTAAATCAGTTGTTTAGGAAAGACATGTTTTTTTCTAAAAGAAGTCTATTAACAACATCAAGCAGTGTAATAATATCATCAAATGCAAAGAATGAGATGTTTTATTGAGACAGAAAAGGTGGACATATTTGTGGGGTACAATATGATCATTTGATATAAATATACAATGTATAATGATTGAAGGGTAATAATTGCTTCCATTTCCTTAAATATTAACCATTTCTATGTGCTGGGGACTTTCATATTTTGGTTTTTTTTTTTACTATAAAGGACTATGAAATGTTTTATTTTCCTTTATAAAATGTCCAAATAATTTTTATTAAATTGGATCACTGACAGTTTCATACAGGTATAGAATGCATTCTGATTTTTCTCACCTCCAGCACTCTCTTGTCGCCCTTACATACCTGTCAAGCACTCACTCCTCTCTACATGTCCTTATATGTCCCAGAATGGACTTGAACTCCTGTAGCTGAGTATGATCTTGAACTTCTGATCTTCCTGAATCCACTCCCTGGGTGCTACAGTTACACATATCTGCCACCATGCCTGGTTTTATATGGTGCTGAGGGTCAAACTCAGTGCATTCAAATACTCCACCAATTGAGGTACTCCCTCTCCTGGTTATTTTAAAAATATATTTAATTGCTTTGAGCAGTAGTTACCCTACTTTCTTTCTCTAGTGTGAAATAGGACTCCACTGAGGATCCAACCCAGCAGCGCCTCATACCTGTTAGACAAGTGCTTCTACCACTGAGTTCCATCCTCAGTCCCTACTGTGAAACTGAAGCTTAGGTGTTTATTTGTAAATTCCTTATGGGCAAGTCCTTGCCTTAAACATTTCCAAACGTATCTACATGTATTGGGTGTTCAAGTACTAAACTTTACAAAGTAGTTTGGGTAAGGAGAGACCAGAGGTGGGGAGAGAAGACCTGAAAGCCTCTCATAACTTAGATGTGAGAAGATGCTGCCAAAAAGGCAACAAAACCATGTGCAGTGATGAATGCCTGCAATGAAGCATGGAATGGAAAAAAGGATAAATTACTTAAGACCACGAGCCTGACACCAGCTTGGGCAACCCAGCAGGAGTCTAATTTTTTTTTTTTTTTTTTTTTTTTTTTTTTTTTTTTTGGTTTTTCGAGACAGGGTTTCTCTGTGTAGCTTTGCGCCTTTCCTGGAACTCACTTGGTAGCCCAGGCTGGCCTCGAACTCACAGAGATCCGCCTGGCTCTGCCTCCCGAGTGCTGGGATTAAAGGCGTGCGCCACCACCGCCCGGCAGGAGTCTAATTTTTAAGATGGAGATAGAAGTAGAGGACTGGAAATGGGTATTCGAGGCCAAGTCAGCAGGATATAGTGACTGAAGGCAAGGAGACCAGCCTAAACTATATCTTTCTACTTTTAGCAAATACATGGGAATTGGAGATGGTGGAGGAGGTTGTAGAGCGATGGTTCTCAACCTCTGGGTTGTAACCCCTTTGGGGGTCAAATGAGCCTTTCACAGGGGTCATATTATATCATAACATATCAGATATTCTGCCTATCAGGTGTTTACATTACAACAGCTGCACAATTACAGTTGTGAAGTAGCAACAAAATTATTGTATAGTTGGTGGTCACCACAACAGGAGGGACTGTATTAAAGGGTTGCAGCATTAGGAAGGTTGAGAACCACTGGTGTAGAATGTCATGTTGGTAATGACACAGCACACAGTAGGCACTCAGTGCTTTCTCAAACATCAGTTGAAGGGTTATACCAGAAGATCTTGAAGATCTCTTTAACACTGAGACTCTATGCCATATGCAGATGCTCGCCAGGTATTGTTACACATTTAAGAACAAGAAGGAACTAATATCTCCATAAAACAAATGAATGGTATAGCAGCAAGGAGGGCCCTCTTTTTCCCATACCATATAGTTTATGTACCTAGAATTATGTGTGCACACTGCCAACTAGAGAATTCTCAGATTGTCATTAATACTGATCATTATTCCTGGAGCTGGGCACTTAGTTGCCATATTCACTGTGGGTTTGACCCCTCTACTGAGTATATCCACACCTGGGAAAGTAGAGTTAGTCAGTTATTTAATGATGTTAACACCCATTTTCTAGGTATTTAAGGAAACTCATTTGGTAGCTATCTTTTATACCAGACATCTATAGTTCACACAAATTTGTACTCCCTTATGTTGCTTTTAAAAAATGAGAGTTGAAGAGTTTTGAACTATAAAATTATATTGTAAGATAGTATTAAAAATAAAATATGAAGTGTAAGCATAGCTCAGTGGTAGAGGACTTTCCTAGCCCACTGATGCCCTGTGTTCCTCTCCAGCATATCAAAAGCAAAGCCAAACAAAAAAGGAGAATTAAAAACTGTGCTAACACATATGTTTCACCATCATTTCAAGAAATATTTGTCACTTGAGCTACAGTTCCAAAGACAGAAATTTGAAAGCAGAAGTGTGGACAAAAACCAAGCTAACAGAAATGGTAGGAAATTTCAGATTCTATAGAGTAGATTTAGCCTAAGAAGGAGGATAAAGCTTATCAATGTAGATGTTGCTTACATTTTAGCTACTGAATCAGATAGTCAATAAATACCTGATCAGCTTTGCAAAACAACATAAAATAAGTAAGCAGCTGAGCTTATTTATTTCTCAACAAGCATACTTAACAAGCATAGGAATTATTTGTCTTTTTGGATCACTATTCTAGTTTTGTGTCATTAATATATGCCACAATTAACTATTAATATTAAGCAAATATGTGTTTGTAGTAAGGACAGCTAAATATTAAAACCTGTGTTCAAGCCAGGCATGATCGTGAATACCTATAACCTCATTACTTGGAAGGACTGAGGCAGAAGAATCAGGAGTTTAAGGCCATCTCAAGCTACATAGTGAGCTCCTGACCATCTTGGGCTATATAGAGAGACTTTGTCTCAAAAACCAACCAAACAAAATCTTGGGTTCAAGACAGATACCATCAACTTGTCGATAAAATAATTAGCTAAGAAAGTATACTGTAAGCCCATAAGCATATTAATGATTTCTTCTCTGATCATGAGAATCAATTGCAGACTGCCTTGAGGCAGATTGGTGGGTGCACTGCTGGTTTTCAAAGTGGGAGTGTTGGTAGGTATAAATGGAAGGAAAATTGTCTAGGATTTATCTTAAACTCCTCTGCTTTCACTCTCCCAAATTTCACTTCTTGGAATATCACTTACTTGCTTTCACTTACTTTTACTTTGAATAGAGCATTCAGCAGAAAGACAACACGTTTTTTTTTTTTAATCACACAAAGTACAATCAAATTAGGGTAAATTGAAGTTTGGGTGATAAAATTACTTTGATCACATTAAACACCTGCAACATTTTGAACTTTTAAGTGTATTTGTGGGAATTCTCCACAGGTTACTTGAGATTGCTATAGGATTTCTCCCTGAATTGAATATGTTTTTTTCTAGAGACTTATTTTCATTTTATTATAGATTATTAAAAATCTGCTTCCAATTCTGTTTTTTAGAGCCCTAATAAGAGAATAAAGCTGCAAGAGGGACAGAGAAGAGGGCTGAAGTTGTGAAAAAATAAAACACAGCTGGGTAAGTATTTCATGAGATCATGCTATGAATTTTGATATTTTACAATTTCCTCTGTTAAAAATCAATATTTATAATTTTAAAAATCATTCAAAAAATAATTTAAAGGACTATTATGGCTTTCAAATTCCCTTTTAAATGTGTGTGCTTCTAGAATCTCTTTCACATGCACTTGGTCAGGGTTTAGGTTTCCTTCTTTTGAGGCTCTTACATAAATGTTACCTTACCCAATTAATATCAACATTGTTGAATTTCCAGGATAGACCCAATGTGACAGTACCTAACAGAATATTTTATTTTAACATATATTCCAGGTAGTCCATGTAAAAATATTTTGTGTAGGTAATGGGAAAATTGCTACATGATTATTAGTGCTTTATATTTTAACATGACTTTTCATATATTGGTTTTGTGGTATTAAAACTTAAACTCAAGAATCTCATAAGATCCTCCTTTGGATAATACCTGTTATATTGATATTAGTTAACTGTCATAAACTTAAATGTCATTGTACCATGAAGAAAAAATTATTGAAGATCCATTTCTTGTTAGAGTATCCATCTCAATGCAAGTAAAATTGGAGAAAATGCTTAGAAAAAGTTGAATTTTTTTTCTTTTTTCCATATTCCTGGGTCCAGTCTAATTGGGACCCAGATCTTGACTTGACAGAATCAAGAACAGCTTATATACCTTTCAGTAACACTTAGGTCCCTCAGAAGCAAACATTAAACCTCAAATAAGTTTCATATTTGCATCCTGTTTAGAACTGTCCAAACTGGAAACTAATAGGGTCACACATTTGAGTGTCATACCTGTTCTAGGATCTCTCACCTAGAATAGTGTCAGAACTGAACAAATTATGGAGCTGTCTGCTAGTTGGCTTACTCATGGCATTCAGCCATTCCTTGCCCAGGTAAGAAGCTTCAGGGGAAAAACTGACCAGTTTTCCCTCTTTTATCAAAAGAGTTTTCTTTTTTTTCCCTTGTTTTAAATTAAGTAATGATCATGTAAGATCATTATCAGGGGCCTTATAATTCAGGGAAAATTTCTGTGAAGTTGATTTGTTTCAGATTTAACTATTTTCTTTCCTACATTTTCATGTATTTTCAGGTTCATTTGTTTGCAAACTTCTCCCTGTTTCGTGTTGCAACAATGAGTGGAAAATCCCTTCTCTTAAAGGTCATCCTCTTGGGTGATGGTGGAGTTGGGAAAAGCTCACTCATGAACCGTTATGTAACCAACAAGTTCGACTCCCAGGCTTTCCACACTATAGGGGTAGAGTTCTTAAATCGAGATCTGGAGGTAGATGGACGCTTTGTGACACTTCAGATTTGGGACACTGCAGGGCAGGAACGTTTCAAGAGCCTTAGAACACCATTCTACAGGGGAGCAGACTGCTGCCTGCTGACCTTCAGTGTGGATGACCGGCAGAGCTTCGAGAACCTTGGTAACTGGCAAAAAGAATTCATCTACTATGCAGATGTAAAGGACCCGGAGCATTTCCCCTTTGTGGTTCTGGGTAACAAGGTAGACAAAGAGGATAGGCAAGTCACGACTGAGGAGGCACAAGCCTGGTGCCTGGAGAATGGAAATTACCCTTATCTAGAAACAAGTGCCAAAGATGATACTAATGTGACAGTGGCCTTTGAAGAAGCTGTTAGGCAGGTGTTAGCTGTAGAAGAACAGCTGGAACATTGCATGTTAGGTCACACCATTGATTTGAACAGCGGCTCCAAAGCAAGTTCTTCATGCTGTTAGATATAGGGACTCTGTTCAAAAGTGTGCACTAAGTTGGTTAGTCCATAGTGTAAGAACTACTGTGCCCTCTGGTAGTATGCACACACACACACACACACACACACACACACACACACACACGCACGCACGCACGCACACACACACACGCACACACACACACACACACACACACACACACACACACACACACACGTGCGTGTGCACGTGTGAGAGTAAAAGATAAGGTTCTTCTTTTGAAACAGAACCTTTCAAATTGAAGTCGTAGAGCAGTTTAAAAAAAGCTTTATTGAGCCAAGTGTATTTTGCGTGATTTCTGCTATGTCCCCTTCCTGTGTGTCTCAGGACACTTCAGAAAGTGTCAGTCCTGAGAGATTTGAGTGTTTTTAAATCACGGTTTAAACCTAGAAGCCAGCCGCATGACGGAGCGAAAAAGCTTAAAGTGTTCCATTAACCAGCGAGCAGATGCCACCACCAGACTTTTGCCAAGCAATTGATGCCATTTCTACCAAAGGGAAAAATAAGATTCTGAGCTAGTACAGTGAAAATAACAATGGAAGCAAGGATTTCTGAGAAGGAATTAGAAAAATGTGGTGGTGAAGATTAGGAATGTAGATTTTTAAAATTGCACACTGACTTGTTCAAATCCTTACATATGGTTTAATCTCATGAACTTAAAAAAATCATCTCAATAATGAATTTAAAAAATACTCTAATGACATTGGAGGTTGATTCTAATCCATGTGTTTGAGTCACAGGACACTAGTGAATGGATTATGCTTAAATATGCCAACCCCCTTTGCAAATACATGGTTGGCCTGCTTTTCCTTCATACAGTCTACTGCTGCTGCATAGAGATGTTGCTTCCTTGACAACTTATCAATTTAGTGATGCTGCTTAGTATGTGGCTTTGGGTGCAGTGCTCTCTGCCTAAAATTTAGATGGTCCTTTGGTTCACCATGCTGGCTCATGAAGAAAGCTTCAGAAAAGATTGGAGAGTATCGGCCTATGCCCACAGGTTCCCTCACTCAGTTGTGTGTTGTAGAGGAAGAAGGATCTGATTCTTGGGATGTCTCACCGAATGTTCAGCTGGCCAAACTAGGACATTAAAACTGGCAAGAGCAGATTTTTTTAAAGCTTTGTGTTAGAATGAATTTCTCATAATTAGATTTGTTCAAAAATGGAATAGACTGCCTTAATAGTGAGCTCCCTCCCAGTAAAAGTAGTCACTGGATGCCCATCTGTTAAAATACTGTAAAAAGAATTACTGTACTGGCTACATGTTTTAAGGTTCCTTCAGGTTTAAGTTCTGAATTTGCAACCTATGTCAGTACCATGTTCTGGTTGGATTTATCTGAAAATAATAGTTAAGACTATAGAGAGGGCCTTAAAAAATCCTCAAGCCATTCTGGGATTAGCCTTTAACAGCAACTACTATTAAAAATATTCCAAAGACACCATGCTCAAAAAATGATTTGACAATTTTTGAATGCCATGACTGCCAATAATTACATACTGTATTATGAATGTGCCATCTGGTTTTTATTGGTTGATCTGCATAGATTTTAATCTGTGCTTTAAAACATGTATGACAAAAATTGTGACCCACTGTAGAGAGGGACAGTTAGATAAGGCCCCCCAAAGAGATTTAGGCCTGGGATGGGGTGGGAGCATTCACAGGAATACAGCCTAGAATTCTCCATTGTAGCCACACATGGAATCAGCCTTACACGTGGGACCTGATGTGCTTTAAGAACTCTGGTACTTTTTGGCCACATAGACAAGAGGAGGACAATATTTCAACACAGACTTACTCAGTATTTCCAATTATTGTATAGTCCTGACCCTATTGTCCAATTAATTTAGATGCCAGAAGTGAAAGCCAGAACTGGGACCCCACAGCTCTTAAATATTGGTTCCTATCCTGCCTATGCCTATAGCCAGCCACACTGGTTTCAATGTTCTACAGTCATTTTGCTACAATCATGTTTGGGTGAAACTCTGTACGTCAGAACTAATAAATGGTAATTGTTTTTAAGTGCATGAGACCTGGGGCCTTCTCTTTCTACTTGCTCTCTGCTTCTAATAGTTTCTATTTGTAGATCTCAGGCCTTCATAAAGATCTCCATCAGCTCACAAAACCTATTTGTCTCTGTAGAGTGGCATGTGGTCATTTGAGTAAAAATAAAAGTACATGGGAATTCAATTCATAGGCTTCCTATCCATCGAGACAAGTGTTAATTTGATTGGCAGGTAAACTGAAGCCCCTTTCTTCTTATCCATATATATTTTTTTCTACCAAATTACTTCACAATATCAAGCACTTAACAGTAAGTGACACAACAGTGGCTTTTTGGTGAGTAACACCCAGTGGGTGCTGACATACAGTTTGGGTAAGATTAAAAGCACCAAAAGCTGACATCTGTGGTACCAGAAACTGTGCATATGCGTTTTGAAATCTGAAATGTATACAGAATGTGCAGTGAAATATTTTCAATAGGTGTTTTTTAATGAACAGTAGATTTTTGGAATAATGTATTTCTAATTAGAAGCATACTGTTTTTCAATGGTCCATTAAAACATCATACGAAATATTTATTTAATTTATTGTCATGTATTGGCTTTTGGGGGGGGCTCAGATTCCATATGTCTTCAGTGGATTGATTCAGGTGTATTTGTACCTGCCTCAGCCATCTCTACTTTATCCTGAGGTATTCCACAATCCTCTTGTTGCAGGTGCTGCTCAAAATCTCAAAATGTGTATAAGATACTTTGTTCCAGTTGTTTAAAAAATCATCTGTGTCAAAGTGAATAAAAAGTGCATTTTGAATAACCAACATACAAAGTTTGTGGGGTTTTATTTCTCTCATTTTCTTCTTTGTCAGTATAGCAGCTTGACCTGTCAGTCAATGCCTCTCTCAGACTTTACCTGATGTGGTCTCTGAATCATTTTTTTATGTGATACTCCAAGTGCTTCTCCATATTTATCATGCAGTAGTGATTGAGAAACAAACTCAAAAAGTTGGAGGTTGGAGATTCCTTTTCTTTTATTTTAGACCTTTCTGTAATACATGGAGAGTTTGGGGACCAGAATATTATGGATCTTAATCTTCTACTTTATTTTTAATCATAATTTTTAAATGTTAAACTATTATGAAAATATAAACAGAATATCCACACTGTCTTTATTTTCTTGACCGGTAAATTGCCTAAACATTAGAAAAATGTGGAAATGTAGACAAAACAGGTAAGAACACAAAAGATAGTTTTTATACAAAAATGTTTTATTCTCTTGACCACCACACTTTGGGCCATTAATGTTACACTAAGCATCAAATGGCGTGAACACATTTGTTAGTGAATTTCTAAATTACATATATATATATATATATATATATATATATATATATATATGCGTGTGTGTGCTTGTGTGTGTGTGTGTGTGTGTGTGTGTGAGAGAGAGAGAGAGAGAGAGAGTGAGAGAGTGAGAGAGTGAGAGAGTAGGGGGAGGTCCACGTGTGCACCATGGTAGATGTGAAGACATCAGAGGTCAACTTTCTAACTCAAATCATCAGGCTTGGTGGCAAGTGCCTTTACCAGCTGAGCCATATTGCCAGTCTAGCGACATTTAAATTATGAATGTAAGTCTCTCTACCATACATGATTCATCACATTGATTCCATCTGCTACAGATTTAGCAGTCTCATCCATTGTACATACTTTTGGTTATTAGACCTATGCAGAGCCAAAAATATTCATTTTCCTTGCTCCAGAATTATTACATCATACTTAAAATAAAATAATCCAAATTCTACGATGATACAACTTTGAGACTATGGAAAGGCATACATTTCTAATCACCTTCAAAAGAATTTTTCCACAGCAGAGTACTTGTAACATGCTTGAGGCCTTGGCTTTGATCCCCATCACTGAACAAAAAGAGGGGAGGGCAATGGATTTTGTCTTCCAGAATGGATATTTTCAAAGCAGAAAACTAGATTTCTGTCTAACAGTTTCTGTCACAATCATTGCTTACAGGGAAATCTCCTCTTAAGACATAATATGAAGTCTCATTTTGGGGACAGTAGCTGGGATTTTCCAGAAAAATGGAGGACATGCAAGATACAGTTTCTGTTCTATCCTAAAATTGAATATTAAAAACACCTTGGGAAATTGAGGTATCTGCTTGAATAATGTCATGATGGGAATTGAGATTGGCATATCTGTTTAATTTTCATTACTTCAAGCAAACCCGCAACAATATTTTTTCAGTATCAGTGATCTAGACAGTCATCTCACATCATTCTTTCCTTGTTATGGAGAGACAGGATTTGACACAGAGAATGATTTTTCTTATACTTGATTTCAGGGAAGAGAAACCGTGATGCACTGTCATAGTCCAGACTGCTACAACAAAATGCCATAAGGTGGGTGGCTTACAAACAACAGAATTTTGTTTCTCATGGTGCTGAAGGCTGGCAAGTCTAAGATCAAGGTACTGATAGATTCTGAATCTGGTGATTTCTCATTTACAAATAGTATTTTCTCATTGTGTAGCGAGCAGAAGGGGTTTCTTTTAAATCAAAGCACTAGTCCTATTCATGGAGATAATATCTTCACAACCTAATCACCTCATCAAAGCCCCTACCTCATGATACTATCATCTGGTAAGTTAGAATTTCAATGTGATTTGGGGATGAGTGAGCATAAACATTAGATTCATAGCAGACATATTAATACATGTATATTTTGGCGTACTCATTAATGTTCCTTTCTTCCAAGCAAATATTTTTTAATTACCCCAGCTTTTCACACCAATGGAGTCTTTATTGTTTAGTCTATACTTTTTAAGAGAGTAAGGAGAATTGCAGACGCTAGATATGTTTTACAGAATAAAATAAACACTATTTTAAAAAGAAATATTAAGGACTGGGGAGATGACTCAGTAGTTAAGAGTGCATGTTCCTCTTACAGTGGTCCCAAGAGTTCAGTTTCCAACCTCCATGTCAGGTGGCTCCCAGCCACCTGTAACTCCAGTTCCCTGAGTATTGAAAGTCTCTGGTTTCTGTGGGCATTTTGCAGTCACATGCACATACCCACAAAACAGACACATATGCATACAAATTATTTCTAAAATACACTAAATCTAGAAGCTAAATGCTATTCAATAACGTCTTACTGATGAGTTCACACACACACACACTCATCATCAATGCACTGCCTTTTATTTAGCTGCTAGTGGTAGTTGCAGTGATTTGGGGGTAAGACTTTTTTCCCTTACAGAGTGAGAGGTTACTTAATGTTTCCCCTGTGAGAATAAGCATCTTCACATCTAGAAATGAGAAGCTGTCATCTTTAGTCATACAGGAACTGCAGCAGTACACTATGCATCTTCACAAATATTTTTGTCTGCTCGGGGAAACACAGAGCATTATGATTCAGCACATACAAACGATTTTTTAAAATAGTGTGCTTTGTGTGTGCAAATGTGTATTTTTTAGGTAATCTGTCAGTTCCTTTCATGCCCTGTCAGCTATTGATAAATGTGTAATGAATCTCACTTCAGTACTCCTGAATTTTAACCAGACAACCAAGCCATGTTGTTTATTCTGAGTTGACTGATAAAAAGGAATTGGAAAATGCTGCCTAATGAAAGAAATAACTAAATCGAACATTTGCTATATTGAGGAAGCAAGAGACAGGCTCAGCTCTTCTGTTGTCCATTACATTGTTCCTGGCTGCCTTAAAAACAGCACATGTGCCCTGTAATATATGACTTAACAGCTGGTGATACATGAACATCTGTTGGTAGCTTTAAATCTTCTCTTTCTCTATTGTTCCTGGGTGGAAAATGGCGCCACTAGTGTACATTTTGAACCCTGTCTTTATTTATGGGGGTGGGAGTAAACTTATGCATCTATGGCAGAAAAGCCAGAAAATCAAGGAAATAGACAAGCAGGATAAGTAATATTCATTTCTAATAACATTATTCTAAGATAAGTAAATTTATCTTTGTTATGTGGGCTTTGAATCTGCTGTTACACTGTACACACACTGTGTAGTCTTTTCCATCTAATACACAGTGAGTATTTCTTCTAGGGATTGTATTAATATTTGCATTCTATTGAAGAATGAACTGTAATACTTGTAATAAAATTGTGTCCTTTTATAAAATAAAGGGGATGAGAAAGTTACTAATAATAAGCTTACTTCAGATCTGTACTTATTTCTTACAAGTAACACTTCTAGATCAAAGAATATGAATATTTTATGGTTTTTAATATGTAATGACAAATTGCCCATTAGAAAGTTGTCCCAAATTACATCAACATTAGTAGAATAAGAGACTGATTTTCTCAAACATCCACACATACCATCCTCTCTAACCAAATTCACTTCCGCCAGTGAAAGTAAAAACTCACGTTTGCACTTGCATTTATTATCTGAGAGTAATAACTGCACAGATATTTATTGATCATTTTTATTTTTCTTAAGTAAATGGTCCATTATGCTGCTTAGCTTATTTGGGATGTGGGGCATCATTTTGTTTCTTTCTTATTTTGTTTTGTTGCTGTTCTGGGGATAGAATCCATTCCTATGCCTACTAGGCAAGTGATCTGTCTCTGAGGTTCAGCTCTCATTTTTGTTTCTTATGGAATTCTAGGAATTCATTTTTATATTGTGTATTTTAACCTTTGATAGTATCCATATCCCTGTTTTTTGTAATTCCTCTCCATATTTCTCTATGTTTCAAATATGTTAAAATTATTTAAAAAAACTTACGTTCTGATAAAATAGAAAACTATGGTAGGTGGGAACTAGAGTAATTTCTTCTTATTTCTTCTTTACTCTGGATCACATTGAAACTATAAGCACTATTATCCTTCAGAAAGTCTGTGGGTCTTAGTATTGTCAACATAATAAAAAGCACAGACAGCAATCAAAATACTCTTTCATCTAGACGCTTCACTGCAAAGTATCAAACAGCTGGTTTGAATTGGTTTAATTTTTGCTGTAATAGACACATTGCTCTTAACTCATACAAATACAGTCAGAGTAACTTCAGCTTTTACCCACAAGGGGACAATAAAGACTTCCTAGTGTTCTGCCATAGAGAGTAGAACCTAGACTGTTAGAACCAAAGAGGCATGTGAAAAGTACCTAGCTAGCCCACCCTTCCCTTATTTCATACACAAGGAAACTGAACAACAGAGCTGTTCAACAGTTTGTTCAAGATCACAAGGACCTGTGTCCAAGACATTTTCCCATTTGCAGTACCATGGCTTAGTTTAACTGACTCAAACTGTAAACACTCACATTTTTTACTGATTTGTAAAAACTGTTTTAACTTTTTTGTTGAGGCAAAGTTCACAAGTAGCATTAAATACTTAAAATGTACAGTTCATTTATATTTATCATCTCCACAGTGTTGTAGAGACACATATCCAGCTCAAATCCAATCCTGACATTCAATGGATGATTTATCTTATGATAATTATATAACCTTGCTCAACTTATTTTTTTCAACCTAAGGGTGTGCTGCTTTTCTTACCTAGTTCATTTGAGGATTAATAAAAATGATAGGCACAAGAGACATAAATTATTCTTATCCCACAAGGTATTAATCTGAACCAGGTATGGTAATACATGCCTGAAATCCTAGCACTTGTAAAGTTGAGGCAGGCTGATAATGAGTATAGGACCAGCCTGAGCTAAATAGTAAAACTTCTTTAAAAAACTGAAAATAATGTCTATCACCTGTTCCCCACTGCTGTAAGTAAATGTATTTTCACATTAAAAATAAAAATAGAAGACACTAGAGTATGTTTTTCCCATC